CTCGTCACGCGTGCCAAAACGCTGATCGAGTCGGCGCATCAGCTCCTCTAGCTGTGTCTGTGCGCTCGCGGGTAACGCTTCTACAAAATCGGCTGCCCGCCCATCAAGATTCATATTAAGTTGACGTACTGCCTGCGCGTCCGTCCATCCATTAATTTCCTTGGCCCCTAAGAGATTGCGGGCGAATGCCTTCCACGAAGGGGCCCCCCGGCCGGTAAATATTAGTCTTATTTTAGCGTGAGGTAACGCGGGGGTCCGTACCGCTTCCGACACCAACTTGTGGGGGTCGCTAGCCCCCGAGATCCCTCCCTCGATAATGCTAACGGCCGGGCTAGCATCATCAATCGCCCCCCCGCTGCTAAGCGAACCGCTGCTAAGTTCCTCACCTATGGTGTGGGAGCCGTCGCCCGCGGATTCCCCTCCACCGCGGGTCCGCGTAATGGGCATGGTTAATCACCGATTAGTATTCTGCCCCTCTCTACTACGATACTTCCCTTTCCTAATCGCGCGCCTGCAACCCACGCGGAGCGAACGCACGCACGCCCACACACACGCCGCTCCGCGCACTCCAACTCAACTCACGTTATACTCGCGCACCTGTATCACACACGGAGTGAACACACGCGACACCCACTCTCGCACCGCTCTGCGCAGCGCTCCCCCGAGGCGAGCCGCAGCACCACAGAATCACTGCGTACCCACGCGCAACCCGCGCGCTCAGCTCCGCGCAGCGCTCACTCACGTGGCGAACCACTGTGCACACAGCGCACCCACACGCTCACACTGCACGACGAGATCACGCGAGACCACGCTTCGCTATTAATGATTTATTATATGCCACCTGCGAATTGATGTTGAATCAGTGAGTCGACGAGGCCGGCCTATTCCACTAAACCTGTACCTATTCCCTATTTATCTGCTATGATTCTAATTCCCCTTCTTACTCACTGTTAAGTGTCCACGGCGGTTCGCTGATCCCGGTGCTCACCGCGCGCCTCGGTGCGTCGCACGGACGTCCGGGTCGCTGGCTGGAGCTGCGTCTGGTCGCCTGGCGCTGGAGTAAGAGAGCGATTTCCCCTCTGCGCTCCTCTATTTATCCTCCCTACCTCCAAAGGGGATGCTGCGCTGAACAATGGGCTCGTGCACCCCAAGCCCGCGCACGGCAGTCCCCAGGCGCTGTTGATATGCTAATCAGTGAGCGACGTTGGCGGCGTACATCCTAATTACTCCCTTACCCTTCCTAACAATGGGGCCTGCGCGCTCAAGCGCAATTATCCCAACCCCCCATGACTATGCGCAACAGCCCCTGTGACCCCGCTATTCATGCTGTCTCGTGCCTCCCCTGCTTGCCCCGTCGACTCGTGGGGGTGTGTGTGGGGGGAAATGCGCCTCAACCGCGGTGGCCGAATGCCCCACGCCGCGACCACACCATATTAAGGCCGGCAGCAGCGCCGCGGTACCACGTAGCACGGGGGAGGTCATCCAATTCCCTGATCGCCGGAAACCGTGAGAATTAATCCCGATAAGGGTCTCTCGGATAAAAACCGGTCGATCAGGTAACCTTCCCTTCCAGCTCTATGGGGGGGGGGGGGATGCGTGTGGGTGTGTGCTTATGTGGGGCGGGTGATGGGGGGCAGTGCGGTGGGGGAAGCCGGGCGGCTCCCTGGCTCGGCAGAGCGGCCCCGTCGCTGTGGCACCACAGATTCTAGGAACTTGAATTGTGAGAAGAGACAAGACGTTGGGAAATGAGTGACAAACAGTTACTCACCAGTGACTCACGGCCTACCCGTACCCGTACCCGGTTGGGTACGGGTAGCCGGGTATCGGGTAGGGTACGGGTATCGGGTTACCCGGTTGCGACCTCTGGGCCCAACCCAATCCAATCGACTCTGCACAACGCTCCCTCCAGTAGACACACCGTGCACGGCAGCTACGTAAGTGTCGCCAGTCTGCCGAGTACCCCAACGCACCGAATGTGTGGAGTGCTTGTGCCACTCATGGCACTGCCTCTCCTAGTGTCCGTCAAATAGCATTGCATCCTAAGTATCCTGAAGGATGCATTCGTCTCGCTAAACCAACCACAATGTTACACGCAAAGAAAAGCAGGTTGGATGTAAATTTTCTAAGTGTTTTATAAAAATAAAACATAATAAAATAATTCTCACGACGTTTCGGCCACAACGCAAGCAGCCGTCCTCAGGTGAAGAACAGGTCTGTCGGAAAGACAGACTTCAGACGCTGTCTTTCCGACAGACCTGTTCTTCACCTGAGGACGGCTGCTTGCGTTGTGGCCGAAACGTCGTGAGAATTATTTTATTATGTTTTATTATTATTTTATTATTTCCCTTCTACGTGGCTTTACCGAAAGAAGCAATAAGATGAATCCCTGCAGTCACGAAAGCTTTAAATAGAAATGTTTTATAATAATGTAGTGATTATGAATTTACAGCTCTTTGTCAATCCATGTGACGGCCGCTGGTCATGGGGGTTATGTGACCATACTTTCTCTCGCTCGTCGGCACGGCTTGGTGCATGTGGAGGAGCAAGAGACGCAATCACATAGAAGTACAGAACAACGATATTTTTGCTGCGCTGTCCAAAACTTGGCCCAGTGAATCCAGCAAATACACAGGCCGATCCATTTATAAATACCCCACCAAAATGACGGGTTGAATTCCACTGGTTTACAGCCACAGTGCTTCCGAAATAAATGTAGTCCAACTGCGCTAATTCTGGGTCACTGAGAATGAAAATGATCCTTGAAATTATTCTTTCGGTAAAGTCACGTATAAAGATAAAATAATAAATTAAATACTAGCATACGACGTTTCGATTGCAACACAAGCAATCATCATCAGGTATAAATTAAATAGAAACACAAATCTAGTATACTTAGAAATGTAATGTAATACAACAGAGAGTCGGATAACATAACAGTCAACACCCTATCTGGTTGATTACGTTCTTCCTGAGAATGCTAAATTTGAGAGAGATTAAACACAACCAGAAACATAGACAGACATATAAGCAGACAGATATCACAGAGATACATAGAGAGCAATCGAAACGTCGTATGCTAGTATTTAATTTAATCTATTATTTTATCTTTATACGTGACTTTACCGAAAGAACCAAAGAATAATTCCTGCAGTCACGAAAGCTCCAAATTAAGTTTGATCCTTGAAATTGTTGCTTGGCTATAGTTTTCACGACATGCTACTGGGTCAGTATGTACGACCCTTGACTTGGAAATGTCGGAGGATGTAAATGAGCTATAATTTAAACCAGAATTGACTAAAATACATCTTTGACTGGATCGATGAATAAATCTATGACTGGGTTTGGACAGTACTTATTTTTTTAAGCAAAACAATGAATGATGCAATCTGAACCTGGTATTGCGTCATACATGATATTAATTGCATGGGTGATGCAATCATAACTAGGCTTACATCCCTGTGCTGAACACATTAAGCTATGTCAGCTACAGAAGTTTGTGTCGTGCTCTCGTATTTGTCAGTGTTTGATTTCGCAAAGGGGCACATTTCTGTTTAGCCAAAGTGAGCAGAGCAGATAACTTCTGCCATGTTTGTGAAATAACTTTTGCATCACAATAGTGCGGTAACCACTATGGTTAAGAAAGTCTTAAACCTCCCGCCAAACCTCCTACGCATTTCACTAGTACTAATCGCATATCTGCATTTCCCATAAATATGCTAAAATTCCTCTTGATATGCAAATTATTTTGTCAAGGCGCTCTTCCTCCTCCAACCCAGCTTAAATATACGCTCCAAGCCTGGGGTGTTTCATTCAGATGCTGTCTTCCCGACAGACCTGTTCTTCACCTGAGGACGGCTGCTTGCGTTGTGGCCGAAACGTCGTGAGAATAATTTTATTGTTTTATTTTTATTATTTCCATTCTACGTGACTTTACCGAAAGAACCAAGAAGATGAAAAGTCTGTCACCTTCGTTTTGGCTGCAAAGTTGGAGATCAGGACAAGATGTGGGCCCCCACACATACGCTGCAACACCTGTGCAACGAATCTTCGCCAGTGGTTGAACAGGGAATTAAAATTATAAAGGAATCGACTTTTGATTTCAAAGCCTCTAACACGTCTCCCACTGACTACCCGGCCTCGCCCGGGACTTGGATTCACGCCCGGCCGCCTTTGTCTCCCCAGTGGCGATGTCGACGGAGGGGAGGGCCCAGGACCGGTAAAAATAATCGTCACCGGTGGTGGCCGTGAGCGGGAATCGAACTCGGGTCGCCGGGTTCGTAGCGCGGCGCGCTACCCGCTACACTACAATGCGTTACGCTTCCACGTGCGTGGGTCACGTGACAGATGTGACGTCACAGCTCACTTGCCGTGAAAAAACTATATGCATTATTGAGCTCCCCCCTCCCCAAAAAAAGTTAATTTTTTTAATGGTGTACAGTCTGGAAAGTACCCAACATTGCAAATTTCAAGTTTATTACATGTCGGAAAGTACGCTAAACATTTTGAACAGACACACGTAATCACAACTTTGCCATTTATATATACGGAGATGAATGCGTCAGAATAATAATCTACTTTCACTTTTGTATGGCGGCGCCGTCGTTCATGTAAATAGCAGATCAAAACGCCGTGGGATTTATGACGCGCACAGAGGGACCGGCGCTGTACCAACAACTTCCCAAACTCTGTGGTCTTACGTTGGGATGCTCGTGCAACGTTCGTGAATGTGCGTGCTGAAGAAGTGCACAGAGTGACGGAAAGAGTAACACGTGGATTTAGAGAGCGTACGGCAGGTTAAGGAAAAATACTCTTAGTTCTTTCGGTAAAGTCACGTAGGTAAAAAATGAAATTAAAATTAATAAAAAATAAAATCACGACGTTTCGGAGGCAACACAAGCTTCCGTCTTCAGGTGAAACTGTCACAGCAAAAAATCTGTATCAAGTGATACAGATTTTTTGAACCTGGTATTTCAAGTGATACAGATTTTTTGCTGTGACAGTTTCACCTGAAGACGGAAGCTTGTGTTGCCTCCAAAACGTCGTGATTTTATTTTTTATTAATTTTAATTTCATTTTTTACCTACGTAACTTTACCGAAAGAACTAAGAATATGAATCCTTGCAGTCACGAAAGCTTCAAATCTAGGTTAAGGAAAGCCAGTGGGTGGTGGTAGACACGATCATCGCCATGCACGGGGTGATGGATCCAACCTGCCCTCAGAGGTCTCAACTCCCCAAAACGTGATACCTTGCGAAGGACTGCAAGGTTTGATTCTTATAAAATAAACGTTGTATAGAAGAAGAAAAAAAAAGAGGTCAGTGGGCTTCGGCAGGACGCGTCACGGATAGAAGAGGTGATGGAATATGGCCAAGACTAACACTGGTCAACAACAAAAAAACATTTTTTTCTGGCCTGGACTTTTGCAGCTGTTCTAGACTAATTTCAGGGTGCCGATTCCAACTCTGATCTCAGATTTGCCCTATCAAATCTCATTTTTATGCTATCGGCATACCCCATTTTCATTGATTTTACCCGAAATTAACTCTGTCACTTATGATTGCAAGTTGTTGCGAGTCAGTGACTGCTTTAGTGTTAAAAAATGGTGCTGTATTTTTAGGATAGTGTGTTTATAATATCATTTTATGTAGATATCCACATTTATTTAATATTTTTCTTCTGCAGTTTTTATTGAAAATGCAATATTGATATCTCAAAAACCTGATGTGATAGACAAAAACTGATGCCAGATTTGGAATCAGCACCCCAAAATTAAAACCTATTGTTTACCTTATGCCAGAAAAAGTGTGTTGACCAGTGTAACATTCCCAAGACTAAAAGCGGAGTGGATATCATACATTCATAGCTCATTGGGTTCCTCCTGCACTCTAAGGATTCTGATTCCGAGTGGTGGTGGTGTCATTGTTCCGGATCCCGCCCTTGTCTTCACGGCTTCCAGAGGTGGATGTTGATGTGCATCGCAAGCCACGCCCACAGCCACTCCGGCATCAGTTGAGTGAACCACATCTGTTGAGCAACACAGGAAATTTCAAGTTTACTGTCGAGTTCACGTTGATTAACCAGGTGCACTCATTTGTAACCTGGGGCATCGGTCTGTCAGTAGGGGGCGATGATTGCCGTCTTGTGTTTTATCTCAATTGAATAATTTGCGGTGTAATTTGGCATAAAATTTGCACCATGACGCCATTAGGTTATTTTTTCAGAAGCCACCTGGCTACAAATGATAGCTCAACGAAGTGGGCTTATCATCACGTGAAAATTTATAGCAGCGAAATAATCTCAATAATCTAAATGTGCGGGGGGGGGGGGGGGGGGTGAGACCAGATGATCTGGAGAACAAGTAAACCCGTAAAAACTAAGTTTTTCACTATAAATCCTTTATATGCGTGGCGGCGAACTTCATATAAAGGATTTAAAAATATATTCGCCTGTGGAGGACGCGGGGATCGATCCCGCGATCTTTGGCATGGGAAGCGAGGGCGCTACCAACTGCGCTACTCCGCCACGGCCTGTGGAGGGGTTACGCTGTGGGCTCTTACACTCTGACGTTCAGCCAAAGCCATGAATGCGTTCTATTTGAATATATGTAAAATAATTTTTTTTGCCTAAAAAGTGTAACATTTTGGGAATTTTTTTACGAACAATAATTGTCTGGCACAACGAGTCTGTGTGGAAAATGTCAGCTCGATTGGATCACGGGAAGTGGGTTAAAAAACGACCGAAAGATTTGCACGGTCCTAAGCAAGCAAGCAAGCACGCGAACTTAATATAAAGGATTTTTAAAAAATCCACATGTGCAAGAACATGCAAACTCCAAAAATACAGCAGGTGTCAGGGGTCGGGATCGAACCTCCGACCTCCTGCATACCAGGCGAGGAAGATAACAGCAATGAATCCACCTGCACGCTGTGGCTTGTTAAACCTGATGCTGGAACACGCGGAGGGGGTGGTGGCGGTGGGGGGCACGGGGGGCGGGGTGGCCGCGCACCTGCAGAGTGTGCGGCCAGTAACCCGTGGTGCGTCGCGCGACGCCCAGCGTGGCGACGGCGTGACGCGCGTACTCCTCCGCCGAGGGCACGAACAGCCAGGGCCGGCGTAAGTAGCGGCCGGGCGCGGTCATCCGCGTGGCCACGTAGAAGGGGATGAGCGTCTGCACGGCGACGCCGCTGCCGGAGCACTCCCGGCTCAGGGCGCAGCTCCAGCTGTCCACAAAGGCCTGTGGGCGCAAAAGTCCGAGATGAGGTTGGCTCCCGTTCGCCGCCGAATCTGAGCACGCGCGAGCGGTACGGCGTTCATTTCATTCAGAGGGGCGTAGAGGCGCCGGTGTTTTTTTTTAAAGATATTCACCGCAGAGAACCGTAGCGAACGCTGCACTCTATGAGAGAGCAGGCGCCAACACCGTGCCGCAAACACACGCTTTCGTGACTGCAAGGATTCATATTCTTAGGTTTTTTTCTTAGGTTTTTTTTTTTTTTTGTTATGCAAGTCTATTCTTACTCTTAATCCTCACCTTATCATATTAATACAAAGTGTGCCGTACTTGGCCCTCCCCCTCTCCAACCATTATTTATACGGAGTGGTAGCTCTTGTGATCTCTCATTTACTTGATACAGCTGTCGTGGCTGTGACGGTTCCACCTGAAGACGGAAGCTTGTGTTGCCTCCGAAACGTCGTGATTTTTATTTTATTTTTAATGTTTTACCTACGTGAATTTACCGAAAAAAAAGCCTAAGAATATGAAGTTCTTTTACTATGAGACGTCTCCTTTAGCAGTGGCAAAATATAGTAATAGGTGTTTACCCTTTCAACTGGTACAAAAACTGACACCTTTATACAAGGCATTTTTTGAGTTGTACGCCTTTTGGCGTCATCTGGTCCAACACCAATGGAGACTAGGCTCTAAGAAAAGCTGTCTCGGGTGTGGAACAATCAACTTCAAGGACAGTGCATATCATTATCATTATCAGAGTTTATTTTTGTTAGCATTTTTACTTCTTGTGTTGTGGTTACTGCAAACATGATGCCTTGTACACCATTGGTACCTCATTTGCCAGTAAAAAATATAATTGTTTTTTTACCCTTTTATCTGGCAACAAAGGTGTCAGTTTTGTTGCCAGATAAAAGTGTAAAAAAACAATTATCATGATGCCTTGTATAAAGGTGTCAGTTTTTGTACCAGTTGAAAGGGTAAAAACCTATTACTATGAAGTTATTTTATTTTAGTTCTTCACATGCGTCATCGGAATTGGAATGGGTTGAGAGGAAGTAAGCGGGCCGGTGTGGTCGACTCGCTGTGATGGTGGTGGACAATTGCGGTGGCGGTGGTAGCCCAAGGGAGATGGAGTGCCGAAATCCGTCTCGGGCGTGAGAGATGCGCAAGAGACCGGGGAGGGTAGTGGGCCTTCGCCCGGCAGCAGAGAGAGAGCGGGGCCTACCTTAGTGGCGGCATAGGCGGCCATGTAGGGCACGGGGCGGAGGCAGCTGCCCGAGGAGATGTTCACCACGGCCCCGCGGCCTCGCTGCAGCATGCCGGGCAGCAGCAGGCGCGTCATGAGCATCGCGGCCGCCACGTTCACGTTCACCAGCTCCCACAGGTGCTCCTCGCCCGCCGTCAGGAACGGGCCCGGCACCACCGGCATCACACCCACGTTGTTCACCAACACACCCACGTCCATCCCCTCTGGAACGGGCGCAGGTAGCGGGGGGGGGGGATAGATTACAAATATGTGCAAGCGCGGTTGCGAGTCTGAAATGTGGAAGAGAGAGCGAGCGCTCGTGTCAAGTGAATTTTAGAGCGAGCACGCTGATGGTGGTGGAGTCAGAAAGAGTGCGTGTGTGGAGGTCACGTGGCAGCAGAGATGTTCCCGGTGAGACGGGGTGGGTAGCGGTGGCGTGGGTAGCGGTGGCGTGGGTAACGGTGGTGTGGGTATCGGTGGCGTGGGTAACGGTGGCGTGGGTAGCGGTGGCGTGGGTAACGGTGGTGTGGGTAACGGTGGCGTGGGTAACGGTGGCGTGGGTAGCGGTGGCGTGGGTAACGGTGGTGTGGGTATCGGTGGCGTGGGTAACGGTGGCGTGGGTAGCGGTGGCGTGGGTAACGGTGGTGTGGGTAACGGTGGCGTGGGTAACGGTGGCGTGGGTAACGGTGGCGTGGGTAACGGTGGTGTGGGTAACGGTGGCGTGGGTAACGGTGGCGTGGGTAGCGGTGGCGTGGGTAACGGTGGTGTGGGTAACGGTGGCGTGGGTAACGGTGGCGTGGGTAGCGGTGGCGTGGGTAACGGTGGCGTGGGTAGCGGTGGCGTGGGTAGCGGTGGCGTGGGTAACGATGTGATGGGTAACGATGTGGTGGGTAACGTTGGTGTGGGTAGCGGTGGCGTGGGTATCGGTGGCGTGGGTAACGATGTGGTGGGTAACGGTGGTGTGGGTAACGGTGGCATGGGTAACGGTGGCGTGGGTAGCGGTGGCGTGGGTAACGGTGGCGTGGGTAACGGTGGCGTGGGTAATGGTGGTGTGGGTAATGGTGGCGTGGGTAACGATGTGGTGGGTAACGGTGGTGTGGGTAACGGTGGTGTGGGTAACGGTGGCGTGGGTAGCGGTGGCGTGGGTAACGGTGGCGTGGGTAGCGGTGGCGTGGGTAACGGTGGCGTGGGTAATGGTGGTGTGGGTATCGGTGGCGTGGGTAACGATGTGGTGGGTAACGGTGGTGTGGGTAACGGTGGCATGGGTAACGGTGGCGTGGGTAGCGGTGGCGTGGGTAACGGTGGCGTGGGTAATGGTGGTGTGGGTAATGGTGGCGTGGGTAACGATGTGGTGGGTAACGGTGGTGTGGGTAACGGTGGTGTGGGTAACGGTGGCGTGGGTAGCGGTGGCGTGGGTAACGGTGGCGTGGGTAGCGGTGGCGTGGGTAACGGTGGCGTGGGTAATGGTGGTGTGGGTAATGGTGGCGTGGGTAATGGTGGTGTGGGTAATGGTGGTGTGGGTAATGGTGGCGTGGGTAACGATGTGGTGGGTAACGGTGGTGTGGGTAACGGTGGCATGGGTAACGGTGGCATGGGTAACGGTGGCGTGGGTAACGGTGGCATGGGTAACGGTGGCATGGGTAGCGGTGGCGTGGGTAGCGGTGGCGTGGGTAATGATGTGGTGGGTAACAATTTTTTGCTGAAAATTTTTTATTGCTGTGGTTTTCCCACCTGATGATGATTGCTTGTGTTGCAATCGAAACATCGTGATTTAATTTATTTTATTTTCTACCCACGTGACTTTACCGAAGAAACCAAAGAGTATGGGTCCCTGCAGTCACAACTTCAAATCAAGATTCGCTACCCATGCGCGGTTCTCACCCCCCTCCGACCCCTCTCCCACCCCACCCCCTGAACTTGCAAAATGATGGTGGGCCGAGTTCACTCCTGGACCCCTCCCCCCGTATCCCTCCAATATCAAGAGCCGCAGGTCGCCACTGCGCTCACGTGCCAGGTTCGGTGCAACTTGAGGCCACGTGCAGTGCCGAAGACTTCGCTGGCAGAGGGTCACGGGACAGACCCACCCACCGGTGGTGCCACGGGTTTTGACTGACCGAGATGACCGGCAGATCAGAGGTCGCAATCGGGTACCCGATACCCGTACCCTACCCGATACCCGGCTACCCGTCATCAGTCGGGTACGGGTACCCGTTTGCGACCCTGGTGCGGCCGGGTACGGGTAGACCGTGAGGCACTGGTGAGTCACCGTTTGTCACTCATTTCCCAACGTCTTGTCTCTTCTCACAATTCAATTTCCTAGAATCAACCCACCCGCTCCTGCAACATGGCTTCATCCCAGAAGTCGCAATTGGGTACCCGTAACCTACCCGATACCCGTCCGGGTACGGGTAGCCGGGTATCGGGTAGGGTACGGGTATCGGGTACCCGTTTGCGACCCTGGTGCGGCCGGATACGGGTAAGGAATCAAACCCGTTTGCGACCTCTGCGGAAGATGCACCGACGACCCCCCCCCCCCCCCGCCGTTGTACCGAGTGCGCGTGCGATATCCCCGTAGGCCGCGGGGCCGCGGCTGAAGTCGGCCACGATCTCGAGGGTCCGCACGGGGAAGTCTCCACGGAGCTCCTCGGCAAAGGTGCCCAGGCGGGCCGCGTCGCGCCCCACCAGCACCACGCCGAGCCCGCGGCGCGCCAGCTCGCGGGCGTACGCACGGCCAATGCCGGCCGTGGGACCTGGTGGAGGAGCGAGAGAGGGCGAGTGTGAGAGAGTGAGAGAGAAGTGGGGGTTTACATAAAGCACCACCACCACCCCCTACCTGCACCACCCCCTACCAGCACCACCACCCCACCCTACCAACACCACCACCCCTACCAGCACCACCACACCCCACCCTACCAGCACCACCACCCCTACCACCACCACCACACACCACCCTACCTGCACCACCCCACCCTACCAGCACCACCACACCCCACCCTACCTGCATCACCACCACCACCCCTACCAGCACCACCACCCCTACCTGCACCACCACCCCCGAGCTGCACCACCACCCCTACCTGCACCACCCCCTTACCTGCACCACCACCACCTCCCCCCTCTTACCCCTCCCCCCTCCCCCCCCACGGCCTCACCGGTGACCACAGCCCAGGCTCCGTGCGAGGCTGCGAGCGAGCGTGGGGGCGCCAGGAGGTGGAGGAGGGGTAGGCGTGTCCCCACGTGCACGCGCGCGGCGCCCACGAGTGCGCGCAGCGCGCGCGCGCCGCACGCGCCCGCGCAGAGGGCGCCCAGCAGCGCCAGCGCCTCCTGGTAGGGAGACAGCGAGCCGCACAGCTCCCTCCAGAGCAGCGCGAAGCTGTCCACCGCAGTGGCCATGGCGGGGTGGGGGGTGGTAGGGGGTGGTAGGGGGTGGTAGGGGGTGGTAGGGGTGGTGGGGGGTGGTGGGGGGTGGTGGGGGGTGGTGGGGGGTGGTGGGGGGTGGTGGGGGGTGGTAGGGGGTGGTAGGGGGGGGGGGGTGGTAGGGGGGGTGGTGGTAGGGGGTAGGGGGTGGTGGTGGTGCCAGTAGCTGTGTGTGTGTGCAACTGGGGTGTGTGTAGCTGTGTGTGTGTGCAACTGGGGTGTGTGTAACTGTGTGTGTATCTGTGTGTGTAGCTGTGTGTGTGCAACTGGGGTGCGTGTAGCTGTGTGTGTGTGTAGCTGTGTGTGTGTGCAACTGGGGTGTGTGTAGCTGTGTGTGTGTGCAACTGGGGTGTGTGTAGCTGTGTGTGTGTGTAGCTGTGTGTGTGCAACTGGGGTGTGTGTAGCTGTGTGTGTGTGCAACTGGGGTGTGTGTAGCTGTGTGTGTGTGTAGCTGTGTGTGTGCAACTGGGGTGCGTGTAGCTGTGTGTGTGTGCAACTGGGGTGTGTGTAACTGTGTGTGTGTGTAGTTGTGTGTGTGTGTGTATGTGCAACTGGGGTGTGTGTAGCTGTGTGTGTGTAGCTGTATGTGTGTGCAACTGGGGCGACGAGGCGGCTACGAAGAAGCGGTCAGAGGTGATCTGAGAGTCGTGAAGTGTTGGTGCTGGTGAGAAGGGCTCCAGGCGGAGGTGAATCCAGGCGAAGTCTCGAGTCCTGATCTCTGGTTCCTGCTGTCCGAAGCAAAAGGGCGTCTCGTTCGCCCAGTCCCCGTGTGTCCGGCTCCCCGAGTGAGCGCCAGGCGAGGAGGAGTCTCAATGTCCAAAGGGCAGAGGTGGAAGGTCACCCCGGGGCCACCCCCCCCCCTCCTCCTCGCCGCCCCCTCTTCGTGTCATCCCGACCGGGCACGCAGACCCGGGACGTCGGCCGGAACCAAAACACGTCAACCCGGAACCAAAACACGTCAACCCGGAACCCCGTGGAAACAAATTATCCAGTCCCCGTAAGAAAGAAAAAAACAACGCGCATTTAACACTCGGATTCGATTAATGTTATATCGTAATTAGTGAAAAAAAAAACGTTTCCGTTCGTTAACTCGTTATACTCTCACATTTTTTTTACGATTGTTATACGCAAGGCAAAGGTTTAAATAATTATTATTTAAGAGTTTGACAACCGGAAGTCAGTGGTGGTACGGACACATTCGACGCTGCGCGAAACTTCCGCCTCTGACCGGAACTTGCGACCACGTGGAGAGAGTTGTGGTTGGGGAGCGGTGGCGCAACGGTTAGCGCACTGTGTGTGTGTGGGGGGAGTGGTGATGCAGTGGTTAGCGCACTGTGTGTGTGTGGGAGCGGTGGCGCAGTGGTTAGCTAACTGTGTGTGTGGGGAGCGGTGGTGCAGTGTTTGGGTGTGGGGGGAGCGGTGGCGCAGTGGTTAGCGCACTCTGTGTGTGGGGAGCGGTGGCGCAGTGGCTAGCGCACTGCGTGTGTGTGGGAGCGGTGGCGCAGTGGTTAGCGCACTGTGTGTGTGGGGAGCGGTGGAGCAGTGGCTAGCTAACTGGTTGGGGAGCGGTGGCGCAGTGGTTAGCGCACTGTGTGTGTGGGGAGCGGTGGTGCAGTGGTTAGCTAACTGGTTGGGGAGCTGTGGCGCAGTGGTTAGCGCACTGTGTGTGTGGGGGGAGCGGTGGTGCAGTGGTTAGCGCACTGTGTGTGTGTGGGGAGCGGTGGCGCAGCGGTTAGCGCATTGTGGGGAGTGGAGAGCGGAGGTGCAGTGGTTAGCGCACTGTGTGTGTGTAGGGAGCGGTGGCGCAGTGGTTAGCTAACTGTGTGTGTGTGGGGAGCGGTGGTGCAGTGATTAGTTAACTGTGTATGTGTGGGGAGCGGTGGCGCAGTGGTTAGCGCACTGTGTGTGTGTGGGGAGCGGTGGCGCAGTGGTTAGCGCACTGTGTGTGTGTGGGAGCGGTGGCGCAGTGGTTAGCTAACTGTGTGTGGGGAGCGGTGGTGCAGTGTTTGGGTGTGGGGGGAGCGGTGGCGCAGTGGTTAGCGCACTGTGTGTGGGGAGCGGTGGCGCAGTGGTTAGCGCACTGCGTGTGTGTTGGAGCGGTGGCGCAGTGGTTAGCGCACTGTGTGTGGGGAGCGGTGGCGCAGTGGTTAGCTGTGTGTGTGGGGGAGCGGTGGTGCAGTGGTTAGCGCACTGTGTGCTAGGGAGCGGTGGTGCAGTGTATAGCGCACTGTGTTGGGGAGCGGTGGTGCAGTGGTTAGCGCACTGTGTGTGCGGAGCGGTGGCGCAGTGGTTAGCGCACTGTGTGTGTGGGGAGCGGTGGCGCAGTGGTTAGCGCACTGTGTGTGTGGGGAGCAGTGGCGCAGTGGTTAGCTAACTGTGTGTGGGGGGAGCGGTGGTGCAGTGGTTAGCGCACTGTGTGTTGGGGAGCAGTGGTGCAGTGGATAGCGCACTGTGTTGGGGAGCGGTGGTGCAGTGGTTAGCTAATTGTGTGTGTGTGGGGAGCGGTGGCGCAGTGGTTAGCGCACTATGTGTGTGGGGAGTGGTGGCGCAGTGGTTAGCGCACTGTGTGTGAGTGGGGAGTGTTGGTGCAGTGGTTAGCGCACTGTGTTGGGGAGCGGTGGTGCAGTGGTTAGCGCACGGTGTGAGTGGGGAGCGGTGGCGCAGTGGTTATCGCACTGTGTGTGTGGGGAGTGGTGGTGCAGTGGTTAGCGCAACGGAATCGCTTACACCTTGCACGTCTTTGCAACTGGTCTGCCCAACTCGATTATCGCTGTCACGTTTACGCAACGGGTTGCTGCTTCACAGGCGAGAGACACTCAAGCGATCTGGTTGCGGCAACTGGTTGCACGGGTGTTGACTCAACTTAAAAGTGCATCACGCGAGACGATGCATTCAGTGCACGGCGTGGTTTTCCGCTCTTGCCATGACGTGTCCCGGTCGTCTGTACGCTAGGTAGCAATCCCTTACATGTCAATTCAGGCTTTGACGCCGTGGGGAGCACCCAAAGGGCAGTGGAGAACACGAATCAGCTGTACTGTACTCGACTATGCTCCCCGTCGTCAACATCCCGCCACTGACCAGCGTGGTGAAGTATGGTCAAACAACCCGCACGGTCTGGAGAGGACATTCTGCTGGGCCCGGATAGGACGTGGTGCTTCGTAAAACATCGTCACTAGGGAGACAAAGGCGGCCGGGCGATACGGGGAAATATTGATTTGAAGTTTTCGTGACTGTAGGAATCCATACTCTTTGGTTCTTTGGGTAAAGTCACAAATTAGCCTGTTATATTTGGTCAAACATTTAATTAACTAGCCCCTTTCAGTTTTTCAGTTTCATTTATTTGGTATATTTCTGTGAGCCATTCGGCTCTTGAATCTGGTGCAACCGCAACAAATAAAAAACATGAACAAGAAAACATCTTAAAGTGACTATGGGACTTTGTGCAAACAGAAAATCTAGGAAAAGACAGCAAAATATTCCACAAAAAGCACCTTACACCAACGCTGTGTGCAAAAATCCCAGTGGGATGCAAGTCAAACAACAACCACAAGACAACTTAGATTAAGGCCATCAGTCTAACTCCGTACTACAACAAACAAACATGGCCAAACCAAAAAAACTTTTCAAAATCACCAAAATAAAGCCAAAAAAGCAATGTAACAGTGATCATAGGAACTGTGACCGAATTTTCACAATAAACGACAAACAAAATGTACCACCAAACCCTGCACCCCTAATGTGATGGCTGGAACTGCTTCTCTTTGGCGAGGCGTGTGATGTTAGCTGGTATTGATCATGGGTGGAAAAACCCCGATTTTTTTTCCAGCGGAAGGCATCGGGTTTTTCTTTAATACAATTAAACCCGATTTCTGGGAATTAAAACCTGGTTTAATGAATACGAAACTCTGATCCAATGCTTAGGCTGCTTCCTCGTCGGTGCTGCTATCGTACTCGGGGGGGGCCGTCGGGCACAGGGTAGTCGTAGAATGCGGCGGGCAGGTTGGTCTTGATGAACACGAGCTTCTCCACAATCGTGGGGGCCAGTGAGTTCCTTAGCTTGGAATGGATGAAGCCCATCGTTGAGAAGTTTGGCGAAGTGCGGTTCTGCAATTAGAACCAATTAAACCGGATTTCTCCCAATCTCAGATCGGGTTAAAGACAAACCCGATTGTAAAAAAACCCGACTGTGCCACCCTTGGTATTGATGATGTTGCTGCTACTCGCAATTGCTTTTCCAGGTTTGCTCCGAGATTTATTGAATTTCGAGTCCCGCCTGCGGTTGCCTTGGCAGGGCCAGAAACCAAATGATTTCGCGGGGCCTCATTCGGCCCGCGGGCCGGACGTGCCCCACCACTGCATGACCTCGTGACACGGCAGCTCTCTCGCCTACTTTAGCAGTTTTTTTTCTTGCTGTAGTCGTCCCACCTGATGACGATTGCTTGTGTTGCGATCGATTACACTGGTAAACACACTTTTTAAATCCTTTATATTAAGTTCGCTTGCTTGCTTACGACCGTGCAAATCTTTCGGTCGTTTTTTAACCCACTTCCCGTGATCCAATCGAGCTGACATTTTCCACACAGACTCGTTGTGCGTGACAATTAATGTTCGTGAAATTTTTTTTCCAAAATGTTGCACTTATTAGGACAAAAATATTATATTTAATTACCAATTGCTTAATGGTGCAATGCAATCATCTGACTTATAGGTGGCAGCCATCTCAAGCCAGATGACGAGAGGACTCTAGCCGCCACGCATATAAAGGATTTATAGTGAAAAACTTTGTTTTTACGGGTTATACTTGTTCTGGCATAAGGTATTCCAACGGTTTTAAGGTAATTTCGGGGTGCTGATTCCAAATCTGGCATCAGTTTTTGTCTATCACGTCAGGTTTTTGAGATCTCAAATATTGCATTTTCAATAAAAACTGCATAAGAAAAATATTAAATAAATGTGGATATCTACATAAAATGATATTATAAA